CGCCCGGACGTGTCGCACCCCCGCCCCAGGGCGTGGTCCCTGCGGAATGACAGCGGCATGACAGCAGTGCGGGCTAGGCCCCCGGGGGGCAGGCGGGGAGTGGAGCAGGCCGCGGGGGTGGGGGAGTCTCGCGGAGTGCGTGACCTGGGCGGGAACACCGATGCCGCCTTGACCTTCAGCCCGGCTCGTCTTTCACAGAACACGGCCGGTTGGACCCAGTTTGCATCTCCTGGGACGCCAGTCTCCTCTCTGCTTGGCCTTCGCCTCTTACCCGTGCTGGCAAACTAATCCGGAAATAGGCTCATTTAACCGTTTGTTTGCTGTGTGTTAAAACTGGCAGCTCCTTTGACGGAGGTCAGGAGATGGTGTGTGAAAGGTTTATTCTCCTGGGATTGGCTTTTGAGGGGGGTTCACCTTCCTGTTTGTCTCTTATCATCCTTCTTTAAGCCGCTTGTCCTTGACGGTCTACCCCTCCCCGCCTCTTGACAAATGAGGCCCTAGGCCCACGTTGATAAGGTGTCCCGTGACTCCCGCCTGACAACAGCGCCCTGATGTTTGGCTGGCGCCGTGTCTCTGACGGAGCTGCCAAATGCACGGGGGGGTTGACCACACCCGGCGCCCGACCTGCTAGGCTTCTCACCCGGCCCGACGGACCTCAGGGTACGATCCGTTGCGTCATGCGGCCCATCACAAAGCTTGCTTGGGATCAGACAGCAGGCCCAGGTGGATGTGGGCCAGAACCGCTAAGCCGGCACTTGGAGAAGGCCCGGGAAGGCTTTCTAGCAATGGTTCCTAGAGGACAGCTTGTTTACTTTTGGGTGACCCAGCCTAACTTGAGTTGTAGCCTGTATTGATCATTCCTCTTTGCTCGTGCTCTGTTCTTTCAGGTGGATCTACTTTGGAATGGGCCAGATTTTTGACTCTTGGGAAGCACACCTCCAGATGTTAAACTCTTGAGATACATGCAAACAGATGTTAGACTAGAGAAACATACATACAGATGTTTGACTTACAAAGCACGCATACAGATGTTAGACTCTTGAGAAACATGCATACAGATGTTACTCTTGAGAAACATGCATACAGATGTTAGACTCTTGAGAAACATGCATACAGATGTTAGACTCTTGAGAAACATGCATACAGATGTTATACTCTTGAAGAACAGGCACACAGATGTTAGAGACTGCTCAGAGGCACACACCCAGATGATACTCTTGAGATGCACACACCCAGATGTTACTCTTGAGATGCACACACCCAGATGTTACTCTTGAGATGCACACACCCAGATGTTACTCTTGAGATGCACACATTCAGATGTTATACTCTTGAGAATCAGGTACACAGATGTTAGACTATTGAGGAACAGGCACACATGTTAGAGACTGCTCAGAGGCACACACCCAGATGTTACTCTTGAGATGCACACACCCAGATGTTACTCTTGAGATGCACACACCCAGATGTTACTCTTGAGATGCACACACCCAGATGTTGGACTCATGAGAAACATGCATGTTATGCTCAAGGAGCAGCATACTTGTGAGATATTGAATTCCCTGCTAACGCTGCGTGTTCAGGAGCACGAAATCCACTCCATCCTTGCATGTTTGAACAGAATAAAGTATTAAAATAGGGGCAAAGACACAGAATGAGCATAAACCTCACGGGGAGCGGCTCTGCCCGCTGTAGGGGTGGCATGTCGCCTGGCTTCCCTCCTCAGTGCCCGTCTCGCTCAGATTAGTTTAATACTCAGGTTAAACGCACGACTTTCAACTCGGATGCGATTTATTGCCCCTCCAGCATCTGTAAGAAAAATCATGTTTAATGCAGCAAAAATATTTTTATTTTTGGCCTACATAATTATCTTGAAATGTCAGATGCCAGCTGTTGTCATGGCATCGGTAAACGAGCATTCGATTAAAGTTGTAAATGAAGGAAAGAAGGGGATGTACGGCCAGAGCTTGCTGATCAGGGCCTCTCCAAGCGGGTCACCGGTCCGGCGCGTAATCGGAGGTCCGGATTGTGGCGTTCATTGACGCGTCGGCCTGTTTCCTCGTCCTGGGTCGACATTCTCGTCTGTTCTGTATCTGTTTGTGCGAAGCGAGCGGGGAGTACGATTCCGAAACGCAAGGCAATGGGTCGTTCCCGCACAGCCCACTGTCCGCTGTACTGCTACAAGACCCTGTTAGCTCCATGCTAATACCGTGCCTGAGCTTGCGAGTCGGACCGGAACAAAGGCAGTTTTGTTTTCATTAAAATTGCTGTTACATCATAACGTCCAGCACCAACCACACCCCGAGAGGGAAGGCATTTCATAACACCCCACCGCATTCACCTCTGCGGCATGCCACCGGCGGCCTGTGGTGCAACGGCCGGGGTCATGTGACCAGTGCAGTCTCCCTGCGCGGGCGCGCTGCTGCTGTGGCTTGGCGTTCTGTGCAGCGGAGGAGCGGCCGCATCCGGAGACTGTCCTGGGGGGTACAGGCCGGCCAAGATCTCCAATCGGAACCCTGAGTTGTCTAAACAGCTTAAGCAAGAGTCCTGCCAGGAATGTAAACGGTGTGTGTTTCTGTGTTATAAATTCCAGACATGTCCACCCCCCATGGAGATGTGGGTACCAAAGGTTGACCGTTTGTCTGTATGTGTGTGTAGGTGTGTGTGTTTGAGCGTGTGTCTGTGTCTTCGCTTGGTTTCATTTGTCTCCCGGGTCAGCCCCGGTCCAGTCACTGAAGCCCAGTCACTGAAGCCCAGTCACTGAAGCCCAGTCACTCCCCGGACTGGACACTGTCCCGCTCCCCGCCCCCATCTCACAAGGGCTCCCGTTCTTCACGTTTCCTCTTCGTTCTGGGAATCCCGGCCTTGCCAGTAAGGACGGCTCAGCTAACAGATGACGAGGTCAGCAGCTACAGCGCCGAACCTCAGCTCTGCTTGGACAGAGGGACTGACAGGAGCACAGACAGGCATACAGTCAGGCAGGCAAACGCATCCTGAGACCTGAGGACAGGTGGACAGACAGGTGGACAAATGAACTGACTGGAAAGTAGACAGGCGAGCAGATAAGAGGACAGATAAAGGACAAGAGGATGGACAGGAGACTGACGAAAGATAGATGGACAGAACGGGGAAAGGCTCAGTGTGGTACCGGCCGCACCTGACTGAGCTGCCGTCCGTCAAGGTGGGCAGCGATGGAGCATCAGAACAGCGGGAGCTGGGAGGAAGTGAGTCACCTCGGGCAGTGGGCGAGGCCCCGCCCGCCCGCGCTGCTGCCAGCTGCCAGCTGCCAGGCCTGTAGAGGCTGTTCCCAGCCTGCACTCTGGGTCTCCTTGTGTGCGTGTGTGTGCGCGTGTGCGCGTGCATATACATGCACGTGTGCCCACGTGCACTTATTCACTTGCTGCAGCCCTGAAATTTCGAGTTGTAAGAGGCACCGGTCTACCTGGCACACCATAGCGAAGGGGGCACTGGCCCGGTACCGGCAAAGTGCATTATGGGTAGAGTGTATTTCTAAACTTGATCATGCAGCCTCTGTTTCCGTCATGCTGAACCTACAGCCCGCCCCTGCACCCAAATTCCGCTGCTTTCAGCTCCCAGCACAAACACCACGGGGCAATATATTTGTTTACCAGAATTTTCCCGAGCCCCCCCCCCCCCCCCGATGATCATAACACTTTGGGCTGATTGATGTGCACACGCAGCTTGCTGTAAGTGTGTGGGGAGTCTTATTTGTAACGGGTGTGTTTTATGTAACAGCTGTGAATGCTGTCGGTCCCCCCCCCCCATGTGTAAGCAGAGTGTGTGAGTCATCAGAGCAGTAAAAAGCCTGCAGAAATCACAGCATAATCATTTTAAACTTCAGTCCGTGTGATAAACTCATTAGGCTGCTTTTCTAGTTCATTCTGAACTGTTTATGTGTGTCTGTGTGCAGGTGTGTATGTATGTGTGTGTGTATGTATGTGTGTGTGTATGTGCGAGTGTGCGCGTGTGTGTGTGTATGTATGTGTGTGTGTATGTGCGAGTGTGCGCGTGTGTATTTGTGTGTGTGTGTATTTGTGTGTGTGTGTGCGTGCGAGCGCGTGTGTATTTGTGTTCGTGTGTGTATATGTGTGTCTGTATGTGTGTGTGTGTGTCTGTATGTGTGTGTGTGTGTGTCTGTATGTGTGTGTGTGTGTGTGTGTATGTGTGTGTGTGTGTCTGTGTGTGTATGTGTGTGTCTGTATGTGTGTGTGTGTGTCTGTATGTGTGTGTCTGTATGTGTATATGTTTGTCTGTATGTGTGTGTATGTGTGTGTGTGTCTGTATGTGTGTGTGTGTGTGTGTATGTGTGCTTTATTTTCCTTAATTCTCATTTCCCGGTCCCATCCCCAGTGTCAGGTGACCCAGCGTGGTGGGGGGGGGGCATTCCCTTTTGGGGCTTCCGCCGCGCACCCCATTGGCTCCCCCCCCCGGCTTGCCACCTCCCCAGGCGAGGCTTGAGTCCCGTCTATGCCGTTGGAGGTGACTCCAGGGCCTGTTTTTGCCGTTAACGAGCTGGGCTGGTAGGCGGGGGTTTGCTGGAGCGGCACCGGCGGTGGGAGGGGACTTGTTATACGGAAGAGCGGGGTGCCTTTGGATGGGCACAGAGTGGGCGCACCACTGCGTGTGAGCTGGGGGTGGCGGGGCCCCCTGTGGCCTGGCCCAGCCCGGCTCATCCCAGCCCGGCTCATCCCAGCCCCACATAGCAGTCGTCTTCCTGCTTATGTTTCCTTTGCCCCTTGTTGTGCCTCATGGCCTCTCCGTGTTCTGCAAGTTCTCCGGTATGTTTTAGTGTGTGTTTTAAATTACATAATAACCTCAGGGTGCCTGCTCACTCACACACTGATTGGTTGTGCCCTTCAACCACATTATTGGTCACCTCGAGTGGTGGCGGGCACCATAAGCCCCGCCCACTGCTCTGGCTGCTTCTGTGTGTTCTGCAGCCTCTGACCTTTGACCTCTGCCCCCCTCCCCCCCCACAGCACCTGGTGAGCTGGGATGCCAGAGACCCTGAGTGCCTGCTGCTGCTGGTGAAGGAGCTTGTGCAACAGTACCACCAGTACCAGTGCCAGCGGCTGCGTGAGAGTTCACGACTGCTCTTCGAGTACGACAGCCTGCTGGAGGACCCCAGCTATGGGCGCGGCATGGAGATCTATGCCGGCCGCAAGAACAGCTGGGTACGACCCTGCCCTCCTGCCTGAGCCGCCTCTGCCCCAGTGCCGTCACAGTCCGTCATCAGTAATGCGTGCACATGAACACAGTCATTATAAAGTCTGCCTCTGTAATTGCCCTGGAAGTTCCCATGATCCCTTGGGGCTATATTGATTAGCGTGTCTCTGTAGGGCTAAAACGGCCCGTCTGTGTGGGGCACCACCCTCCCCCCGGGGCATGGTGGGTGAAGCAAGTGGGTGGCGGGGGGTAGATGAGGATTTGCAGCTCTAGGCGCATTGTGGGGGTGGGTGCGCAGGTGTGAGTGGGGCGCATTGCAGTGGAATGAAGCGCCACGTTAACCTGGAATCTTCTGCGTGGGGGTGTCGGAGTCGGGAGAATGTGGAGGGGGGGTACGGAGGTCTCAGTACGGAGGCCTGGAAGTTGTCATTCCTGCAACTCGGGAGCTGTCTGTGAGGGTCAGCATTTGCCCCGGGAGCGTTGTCCACGTCGCCGCCTCTCTGGCCGCTCAGGGTATTGCGTGCATGTGCGTGCGTTGCCGTTTGGCAGGGTAATAACCGCGCCGCAGGTGCAGCAGTAATGAGCACGGCGCGGCGTCACACGCCTCGTCCGCGACCCTATTGTCTGCTGGGCGTTTTTAATAAAGAGGATTTACGGCGGGAGGTTTGTGTGCCGCCCCGCCCAAACACCCGCTTACGTAAGGGCTGGGTGACACGGGAGCTCATGGCAGGCACCGCCCGGTGATCCGGGGAAGCTGGCGGAGGCCCGGCTGCAGGTGGGGGTCAGTCAGCCCCCAGAATCCCTAGCCACTTCAGCCTTATTCCTTAGCATTCCTGCTGCTGGTTTCATTAACCTGCCAAACTATTTTTTTGGTGCTGTACAATAAATAAAACAATAAAATATTATGTTCGCTGGGATTCCTCCCCTCATGGAAGCAGACTAATTGCCCCCCCCCCCCTTTGTGTATTACAGACTGGTGAATTCTCTGCTCGCTTCCTGCTCAAACTGCCGGTGGACTTTAGCAACATCCCAGTCTATCTGCTGAAGGTAGGCCTCCCAAGGTGTGTGTGTGTGTGTGTGTGTGTGTGTGTGTGTGTGTGAGTGAGAGAGAGACCGTCCCCTTCGTCCCGCCTCCTTGTCAGTCTCCACATGTAGATGTGCCCCTGTGTGTTGGGTGACAGGGCTGTGAGCTGCCTAATCAGAGACCTGTCACTCCACATCAGGCCCTCTCTGCTCAGTGTCTCCTGGCTACACAGACCCCCATGCCCCCCACCCCCACCCGCATTCAGGGATGAAGGCTGTAACTGTGAACTCAGCAGTCACGATGCCCTCCTTTGTTGTGAGGAATTCTGGGTATTCTGGCACAGAGATACATGCACAAGACGTCCGAGAGAAACGTGATGTCATCTGGTCCCCAGGAGGGACCACTTGAAAGGCAGAGAGTTATGCTAGTGACGGTGTTATACTGTGACTGACGTGAGCAGAGAGGGTCAAAGAGCCATGCCAGGCAGAAAAGTCAACCAGAAGGCGTCTGCAAGATTTCGGCAGCGTTAGCACCCTGTCACTGTGTGTCCAGGAAGCCAGGCCTCCCGGCCACATCTAATGTCAGATGTGGGACAGGAAGTCCCCCACTTCCCCACTTCCTGTCCCATAGGCAGACTTCAAAGCTTCACTACTGGCTGCTGCGCTTTTCACCCCGATGCCGTTGCCACGTTTGACGTCGTGCTCGGATGCCGCGGATTCCGCCGAGCCGCCGCATCTCCCGTCTGTTTCCGGCCGTAACCCCAGGCCCAGAGTCTCGGCCAGGTCGGCTGGGTCCTGACGTCAGGCGTGCCGTCAGCCGGCTGAGAGGCAGCGGTGCGTACACATCACAAAGATGTGCGCAACACCATGGTTGTGTCGGAACAAAATGAACAGTGTATACGCGGCACGCAGCACTGCAAGCAGCTCCAGAACAACACGCCAGCAGCAAACAACCCCCTTAAAGGGGAAGTTAACCCCAAAGATTTATCTCTTTCTATCCATCTAGGTTGCTCTGCTTTGGAGATCTTGGCCATAGAAATATCTGGCTTTTCTTCAATATAATGGGACTGAATGACATTCTTTCTGTGGCGAAAATTCAGCAGCAATGTCTCTTACCAGAAATCATGACCCGGTCAGTCGAGATAATCCGCGGACTTTGTAGGGAGCAGTTTAACGTAGCAACTATTTTCTTCTACCAAACTCCACACACCAATCATATCACTGCGCAGAAGATTCAAGCACGAGCAAACCGGCAGAACATACCTCCCCGCAGAACAGCATGGACAGATAGATAGCACTGAAGACTTTCTGAAACATCTTTTTTCAGCTTTGAGGTGAACTGTCCCTTTCATTAGAACCACGAGGATATAAAAGGTTATTTTGAGCACCTGATAAATCTGAGAATTCAGATTTTGGTTTTTGATCAATTCTGTGAGTCGGACCAGGCTGGGGCGTGCCGAGGTTCCACTGGCACCCCTTCATGAGTGACAGCACCAGAGTGTAACGTCACTGTGCTTCCAAACGCTGGATGAACAGCAGCGGGCGCGTGGGGGGGTTGAGGCCCCTGGCTAGACTGCCCTCCTTTGTCTGCTTCATTTATTCGGGAGATGCACTCATTTCCATCTTTATTCTGTCCTCCCTCTCCTCTGTACTTACCCCGCGTTGGGACCCTTGCCTCTTCTGCTCCCGGAAGGATGGCCGCAGGTCCGAGAAGGAGCCTGTCTGCATGCCTTGTTGGGGAATGTGAGGCGGCTCCGTCCTTATTATGCTTGGGAGGGGGGGCTGACAGAGTTGTTTTTATGTTTTTAACGAGCTGGAGACACAGCGAGCCCTGGGGTTAGTTTAAGTAGCACAGAGTGTGTGCTAAGGCTAGCGGCGCTCTGC